AATGTAAAATTTATCAGGTGTATTCTTTTCAAAACAACTTCAGTAATTGTTATTTGGTATACTAAGTAAAAATGTTCAGCACTCTAAAAAACACTAACCTAAACCCTAAAGTTTAAAATTTGTGGCAAGATCATATATCATAATAATTAAAATACAATGTGGTAAATTTCACCTCTAGTGAATACCAAATAAATTCTAAATATTATTAATTTCTAATAATAAAGTATTACATACGTATACTGTGTTTTTGAATCCAGCAAAACATCAATGCTTCAGTAGGATTCTTGAAATATAGAGAAAATTCTCTACTAATAGATGGCATTTCTTCAATATTTAGTGCTTGGTCAATAATTCTATCAGATTCTTCACTTAGCATATTATCTGCAGAATTTATTGTCATTTCATCATCACTTAACATTTCATCATAAAAGAAGTCTTCTAACATTTCATTAAATGCTTCACTGTCAAATGCTTCATCATCAGGTGCTTCATCTTTGAACATATTATTATCAAGTACTTCGTCATTGAATGCTCTATTGAATAATTCTTTATTTGGTGTTTTATAATCATTTTCTACATTATTTGATATCTCATGAGCATTTATTTTTTCATAATTAGTTTCTTCATTAGTATGTTTTTCATTGTCCAAATGTATATTATTTGTATTGCAAGGTTTTTTATATAATTTTGATATTTCCCATAGAGGCAATAGCAATTGCGAAGCATTGTAAAAATATAAACATTTAAAACAAAAAAAAATATTTATTGTAAAAATATTATCTGAGACTTCGAAATTTAAAGCCCAGAATCTATAGTTAAATATTATTGATCTTATGATATATTATTAGTCTTTCTTTTTTCATTACTTTTCTTAAAATAATGAGTTCTAGAACTGCTAAGAAGCATGCAAATAAAAAAATAACAACTAACTCAAATAAAAGAGGCTGCAAAAAAAAAGAAATTGTTGATCTACCAGATGACCATTATAATCCTTTAGATAGTGCTTTAATTTCACATAGTGATATTACAAGTGTTAAAAAAGGTTACAAAAAGCAGCAAGAGACAGTTGCTTCTACGTCTTTAAGTGTCTATAATGATAATAAAGCACAAAACAAAAATAAAAAGAGGATGCAAAAAGAAGCAAAAAAAAACTGTATCTCAACCATCACTAATTGTTACTAAACTTTTAGATGATGATGATAATGCTCTCGATGATTTCAATAATATTTCTAATGTTGAGTTCATGATGCTCTTAGTGATAATGATACTTTTAACAGTGATGATGATATTTCTAGTGATGTTGATGAATTTGTAAATCATGATCATACTATTACATCTTCAAGTACATTAACAGAAACTAATAATTAGATTCAAAAAAACAGAACAGCACCTTTAGGATCAGTAACTATACCTAATTCAAAAAAAAAAGTCCTGTTTATCATAATCTATGTTAGATCTAGAATTAGGAGACTAGTTTGATTTTTTGAATAGAATTTCAAGAACAAGACCTGTAACAAATTCAAATTCAAGGACTAATAGTCAGTTTGACTATATTTCTTTAGATAGAACTTCGAATTCAAGACCTTTAGAGTCAGGTGATAATATGATAAATATTCAGATGAATAATACTCATAATATGATGAATAACTCAATCTTTCACTTTGATACAATCAATGAAGTTGTTCCTTCACCCTTTAATAAGATGACAATTTATTAGCTTTGTTTATGGTTATGTGAGAATCCTAATGTTTTGCAACTAGCAAATCATATACATTTATAATACAAATATCAGCCATAGAAAGATTACAAATTATGCTTTCTACCTCTCCCAGATTATTAACTACTTTGCAAAACAAGAAAGATAAAACAAAGGCTTGTCTTGATTTTTTAGAAGAACTGAAGTGTCTTTTCCTTCACGTTTAAAATCCTAAAAAAAGTGCATTTGAGGAGTTGGTACAGAAAATCTTCAAGTATGAGCTCAATTCTGCTGAAGGCATCAAATTACTTCATATAGCAAACAGACACTTTGGTGATTTTTGATACAAATTGATCAATGATTTCATGGATTTGGTTAAAGACTACAAAGAAAAAGGTTATTAAGCACTATATATAAGTGATGGGAAGAGAAAACCTGTAAATCATGTCTTTCAGATATTTAATTTAATAACAATATCTTAAAACAAAGTAATTAAATACTTAAAACTTTAATATTATTTGAATCTTTCATAAAACAATTCAGATGATATTATAATTTTAAGTGTTTAATTCATTGATTTTAAGATATTATTATTAAAAGTAGATATTCAAAAGACATGATTTACAGGTTTCTCTTCCTGTCACACTCCAATAGTATCATTTATATTTTGTATTTATTAATATTCTTTAATTAATTATAGATCCGCAACAGGTTTCTTGCAAAAAAGAGAAATTGTTACTTTTGTAGACGAGACTGCAACTGCTCACGTGCTAAGTCAATAGTTAAATGCCACCAATATAAATAAATTGAAGACTCAAAATTCTATGTATCATTTATGTAGATTTGCTATTAATTATTCGTCAAGAGATATTGAAAGGACAAAAGCTTTAGATAGGTTGA